GCCATTTTTCAGAAAAAACCATGGGCTATAGTACAGGGATTTTTCAAAAACTGGCCGATTCATAAAAATGGCCATAACTTTAAAATTCTAAGTCGGAATCAGCTCAAACTTTCTACACAGCATAAGAAAATCAATATGTATCAGAAAACGTAATAAAAATTTCGGAGCCATTTTTTGGAAAAAACCATGGGCTATAGTACAGGGATTTTTTCAAAAATTGGCTTGTTTTTAAAAATGGCCATAACTTTAAAAATCTAAGTCGAAATCAGCTCAAACTTTCTACATAGCATAAGGACATCAATATGTATCAGAAAATGTAATAAAAATTTTGGGTGATTTTGGAGCCATTTTTTAGAAAAAACCATGGGCTATAGCCTTTGCTTTTCTTCAAAAATTGGCTTGTTTTTAATGGCCATAACTTAAAAAAATTAAGTTGGAATCAGCTCAAACTTTCTACACAGCATAAGGACATGTATATACATGTATATGTACATTGTGTACAGTATGTCCACTCCTCATAGTGTTAATACATAATTCAAGGCACATGTACATACAATGGTATATACATGTACATGTGGACTTACTTGAAGGTTAGGTACTGAAGGCTGAGCAAGAGCTACTACTTGTTCCTGGTGTTCTTGATTAGCAAGAGGAGCAGTGGGAGGAGGCATCACTAGCTCAGCCTCTAGACTTTGTTCTCTAGTGCTTGGACTCTCTCCTTCTTTAGTCTCTCCTTCGTCATTCTTATCCTCCTCTGTTGGCTTTGGTGGATGTGGCTTCAAGAGCTTTATGAGTATTTTAACACAAGAGGAACTGATTTGAGGATCCTAATAATAATAATAATAATAATAATAATAATAATAATAATAATAATAATAATAATAATAATAATGATAATGCTAGTTACTTTCTATAATAATAATAATAAGAATAAAACAAAAACTAATGCTAAAATAATCAATAAACAATAATACTAAACAATATAATACTAATAATACTATCTTACCATAGATGTCAACAGCTTTATAAAGTGCGGTATACAGCTGTTGAGTAGGTCAGGAAACTCAAGGGACAAATAATACATGATTTCAACAAGAACGTTAACAGTGGTTTCAATAGCAACCAACCCTGTACAAAAAACAAAAGATACATACAATTTGTATTTAGATTTTTCATGCATTTAATAAAAACATGTAGATGCATGTAAATGTACATGTAATTATCATAAGAAACATGTACATGTAAATTATGCTGCTTACATGTACATGTACATACATACCTGTGT